ACATTTCCACAAAAAGCGGTTGATTCGTACACAATATGTATGACTTTTCGAGTAGTATTGAAATCGAAAATGAAACATCAACATCTTCCAGCTATCCAACCACACACTACCATCCAAAACTTTACATCGGCGGCCTAACCTCCCCCTCCTTATAATCCTCCGCAACCTTCCTCGCCCCCTTTGTCCTCTCCGGCCAACTCGTCCGCCTCCTCGCCCTAACATAAAAGTTCATCGGCCTAATAAGCTGAAACTCAGGATCATAACTAACCGCCTCCTCGCCCTCCTTACAAAACTCATACCTATACACCAAAAGCGGCAACAACACCTTGACCTCGCCCAACGCAAAATTAAACCCAATACAACTCCTCGGGCCCGTGGCAAACGGCATATACGCATTCTTCGGCCGCCCGCTGACCTCCTCTGTGCCCCAGCGGTCCGGGTCGAAGCGGTCGGGGTTACTCCAGATACGCGGGTTGTTGTGGATGGCGTGGAGCGCGCAGATGACGACGGAGCCGGCGGGCAGTTTGTAGCCCGACGGCAGGATGCAGTCGACTTTTGCGGTGCGACCGGGTTGGAAAGAGGGGTTGTGCAAGCGTTGGGTTTCTTTGACTAATTTGTCGAGGAAGGGGAGGGAGTCTGAGAGTTCGGGTGTCCATTTTGTGGCATCGGATATGCCGGCGTCGACGAGTTCTTGGAGGAGGCGGTCTTGATTTCCGGGGTAGACGCAGAGGCTGGGAGGGGGTTAGTATGATGGGGGGTTGTGCGTGCGGGGGAGGGGAGGGGAGGAGACTTACGCGTAGAGGAGCCAGGAGAGGAGGGAGGAGGTTGTTGTGAAACCGGCGGCACAGATGGGGAACATGTTTGGGATCTGGATTGTGTTAGTGTCCGGGTTGTATTGGACGATTGTTTTAACGGGTACTTACGACAAGTTCGCGAGGTAGCTTGTTACCCTTGTCGTCGGTGGCTCGTTTGAGATAGTCGACTATACAGCTGGCTCCCAGAGCAGCAGTCTGCAATGGGAGATCATCCTCGCTCTCTCCTTTTGGTGCTTGATCGATGGCTGTAGATGAGAACATATGATTAGCAATCATTCTCAACCGAGATACCGAAACTAAGTACTCACCATTGCTAATAACAGTCGACAGCCTGTGCTGAACCTTGTTCAGGTCATACGCGGTTGTAAAAGGAATGGCACCAAGCTTTCCGTACCAAGCACCACGTGACATGACCTTCTTGTTCAACGAAAGCGACTGAGATATCAACACCACCAACTCGTTCAGCGGCGAGTCTGGGTGGTCAAAGTGATGGGCATGGTAACCAAGCGCAAACTTGAAGACGGTCTGGGATGCGAGCTTGAGCATGTACTGATAAACATTCCAGGCCTCGGCCTGCTCGTCGAGCTGGTCGAAAACCTTGAAGGAATCTTTGACCGACGCTTCCATGAGAGGGGTATAATGTCTAACCGCCTTTGGTGCCATAGAAGGCGGGATGAACTTATGGGCTAGTCTCCATGCCTCTGTATCAGTGTCGCAGATGAAGAGGGCTCTGTTGTCCTTGATACTGGCCAAAGGGTGGTCTGGCGTGATATGCTTGCTGAAAAAGGCAGATTCTTGTAACGCCACTGTTGCAATGGCCGGGTCGTTTGTGAGGTAGTTTTGCCTGCCCATTGTCTCATATTTGATGAGAGATCCATATTTTTGAAACAAGCGAGCATGGTTACCCTATGCAGTGTCAGTTATGTTTTGCGTCGTTTTGGGAAGGTACTGACCAGATGGTCGGGGAAAACCTCGTAGTAACTTCCTACAAAAGGAAGTCCCTCCGGGCCAGCGGCATCCTTGATACTTTGTCCGTCAACTGCTATGCCAATGTCTTGGTCACAGTCTAGAACCGCATCCAAGTCCCGTAGGTCCTGTCCTGTAGAATCTTGAAGACCAATACCTAGTAGAGTATCAAATGGCCTGTGTCACAGAAACTGGCTTCTCAACATTCTGCTTACCGGTCGATTGAATTATGTTGTACTGTTCAGCTACAGCAACTTGCAGTGCCTCGAAGTCATGGTATCGATCGATATGGATGTCTTGACGATAAATAGTCTTATCTTGCCCGACCAGGTAGAAGCCTTTGATCGTCATGGTGCAAAAAAGCAAAGTTTGTGAAGTTTGAGACTTGAATGAACAGTTGAATGGACTGCAGAAAGGCTTAAAAGAAGCAGAGCAGTTTACGTATATGTCCGGTGAGCCCTTTCTCGCGGCTCCGTCCCATCAGCCCTGCATTCTGAATCGCAAACATGACGCATCTCCACTCAACGAATCGTACCACCAAACCCGGCGCCCCGGCACAGGAAGACTACGCAATGTTGAATGTCATGCGAGCAGCCCGGCCGAGCCTTCACCAAGTTTTCATGATGCTACCAGCCTACCGTTTTGCAGTCCGCACAAGGCGACCTCGGGACGCTAGTTAAATCGGTCATCCGTAGACATCCGTATATGCTAGCGTATATGAGCCTCGGCAAGTGGGGACAATGCCAGCCACTATCGTCGGAGATATAGCTAGTGTATGTTATAGCGCGTAGCGCCGTCGTCTGTCATTTCCGAATGACAGGATCCTGAACTTCCCGAATGTCCGAAGTCTACAGTAGTCAGGTCGTACGTTACGTACTGAGTCAAATTGGATACTACACGTTTGTTGCATCAAGTCATGGCGAAGGTGGTCTGGGCCGGAACAATATTAGTCTCAGTGTCGCGACCACCTAGGCGACATAATATACTGGACAGTGTGGGTAAGCACCCAATAGACGTGTCTGACGACTAAGTACAGTGGCTTTTTTACACTAGTATGTTCAGTATTTCATGACACCCGGGTGCGACTACTTCCTTTGCAACTGAACTCCCACAACTCGACATCTTCAACTCATATCATGGCCGACGGTGTATACACCCTTCAGGAGGTTGCAAAGCATACCAGCAAGACCGATCTCTGGGTCGCGTTGTGGAATCATGTCTATAACGTAACAGACTACCAGGAAGACCATCCAGGTGGCAAGGAGTTTCTACTCGAAAACGCCGGTACCGACGCGACAACGGCATACGAGGATATTAGCCATTCGACAGATGCGAGGGAAGTTCTCGAGAACTTTCTCATCGGGCGCATCGCAGACGAGGACTGGACCGACCATGAAGCAGCAAGAATACCAGAAATCAAGCCGAGCAGGGTTCATGTGGTCAACAACCTCCCACTACCGAAGCCGCATCGGATTCAGTTGTCTGCCATAGGTTTTGGCCTGCCATCTTTAGTGGTATCAATAGTTCTTGGTCGAAAACTCTCCCAGCTTCTGAATCGCTTTCAGGGTGGTGGCTTCTGGAAGGGATTCGCCGTCTCTTCCCTTGCCAGTATGTTGTTGGCTGGCTATGCTAGTCTTTGGGCGACAAAGAGTTTCGATGTTGCGCACAAAGACTTCCGGTCCTATCCGGCACACTTCAAAGCGAAATCTACATCGAAACCGTCAAAAAAGAAGGATATCAATGTTGGCGTACTGAACGCCAGCGTCTACCAGCCTTTCCCACTCATTGAGAAGTACAATGTTTCCCACGACACCATCCGCTTCGTCTTTGGACTACCCAGCGAAAATTCCGTCCTTGGTCTCCCAACTGGTCAACACATTGCCATCAGACACGAAGTTAATGGAAAGCAACTCACCCGTTCATACACGCCAACATCCAGCAACAAGGACCGAGGCCGCTTAGAGTTGACCGTCAAGATCTACCCGACCGGAAAGCTAACGCCCTGGCTGAGCAAGTTGAACATCGGTGACAAGGTGGAAATCCGAGGACCAAGGGGCGAGATGAAGTACCACAGGAATCTAGTCAAAGAGATGGGTATGATCGCAGGCGGTACCGGTATCACACCCATGTTCCAGCTTATCCGACGTATATGCGAAGACCCGAGAGATGAAACCAAGATCATGTTGTTATACGCCAACAAGACTGAGGGCGACATTTTGTTGAAAGAGGAGCTTAACGCTTTTGCCGCAAAGCATGATCAGTTCAAGGTGCACTATGTTCTTAGCAATCCATCCAAGAAGTGGAAGGGCGAGACTGGTCGCATTAGCAAGCAGATGATTGAGGACTATCTTCCGGCACCAGCCGGTATGGACAGCATGGTTCTTGTTTGTGGACCAGATCTAATGATGGATTCGATGGTAGCAGCTCTCCAGGATCGCGGCTTCAAGCCACCAGGTATGTTGCGCTTCTACGACATGATGAGACTGCGTGCTAACGGAAGATAGGCAAAACCTCGAAGCCTCAGGATCAGATCTTCATTTTCCAATGATTTTCGTGTTTTGCAGCGTCTATTCTTTCTGTTCGAAGCATGTTGAGTGGTTTAGCCGGAAATGGTAGATGGTTTATTTCCAAAAAGCTCTTTTATGAACATCTAATTGTACTTCATTTTATGCCATGAATGCATCGTGCCTATATCATGACGGTGACGTTAGGATGTGAACGGTACTACTCGAAGTAGTACTGAGGCCGTGGATGCGGGCTGACCATTACCATGTCCGTGCGCGTTTTGGCCATGTTCGAGTTTTGGCCACCCCAACAACATGAAGATACCAGAAAAATGAGGCTGTATCACCAGCAACAATAGCTATTAATGCGAGATCTTGTGGAGTTGTAGTAATTATATCATTGCGATTAACTTGTGCTACTTGTATTTACTTGGTAGCTTAGTTTTGCGGCCAAGGCGGGTGGTACGCGCTGGGGCGGCTGATGCAGCCTCCTCAGCTTGAACATGAGATGGAACAACAACGGCACGTTTCTGACGCTTTCTAGGTAGCTTAGAGGCTTGTGAGGCCTTGCGTTTACCCTTTTGGGACAGTTGTATAGCTTTTTCAGCGTCGCGAGTTGCTTTCTGGCGCTCCTTTTCAGCCTCCTTAGCGGCTCTCTCCTTCTCCCTCACTTCCTTGAGCCTCTCTCTCTCAACACGCTTCTCCTGAGCTTGATGAAGCTTGTACAACCGAGCTTGCTCCTTCATCTGAGATCTCTCAGCTTTCTGAAGTTGTTCCTGTTGTTTTTGTTGTTGTCGAACTGCTTTATCGTCCTGAGCCCGATGGACCTTATGAGGAGACCAAAGAAGAGCACCACCATAATACTTATGGTTGTTGTTGACGTTTAGAGTATAGCTCTTCTTCCTGTGTCTCTTTTTCACCAAAAGAGCCTCCTTGAGGTCCCTGTTTTCACTGCTTAGGATACTAAGTTGAGCTGAGATATGGTGGAGACTTCGGTAAATCTTCTTTGTATCCTTTGCGTCCTTATCTCGCACTTGATGAGATATAAGAGTCTTGATTTTAAGCCAGTCTTCTGCACTAAGCACAGAAGTTGAGCTTTCATCTGAGCTTGATGCCTCTTTGCGGAATCTTCGGAGTATAACCTCAGCGTTAGGTGGGTGTATCCCAGTTGCTTCAAACGACTTCATGATAGTTTGAGGCTTAAAAGCAGCAGCCCAGGCACTCCAAAAGAGGGGAAAGAAGTCTCCTTTCGTTACTGGGATAAGCCCCTGGCTTCTATAAAGGTGGGATGAAAGCTCAGTTGAGTAGGTAGTTGAGAGAGGCTTGAACATCCCAACATCAAGCGGCTGAAGCGTATGGGTTGCATGAGGAGGAAACACGAGTAACAGGATCTTGTGGTCATTGCAGTAGTTGATAAAATCCATAGTTACGTGGGATCCATGGCCGTCAAGGAGTAGTAATCGGTATCCTGAGCGAGCTTTCCATCTAGTCTCTCTCTCAAAAACCTCCTTAAGCCAGGCGAGTCCTATATCGTTGTTTGTCCAGCCAGAAGGGGATGAGCTGATGAAGACTTGGTGCTTTTCTTTGTTGATTGCGTCCGTCCAGCTCGATTGTAGGGCTCCAGCAGCTGACTGGAAGATGAGCGCTGGCGATAGAGCTGTACCATCCGAACAGATACAGGCTAGCACCGTCACCTACTCTCTAGAACCATCCTGAACAGCAGCTGTAACCCCTTTTCGATCGTATATCCTCTTGTCGAAGACCCTTTTCGATCTCCCAGTTACCCCAATCATGAAGCCCTTTTCATCTATATTAAAGATGTAAGAGGGCTCTACATTGTACTCCTTCATCTTACTGTGTAACAGCTCGAAGTATAAGCTTTACTTAGCTCCTGAATCAGCCTTGTGGCGATTGCGGTCTATCCCGGTCTGCCAGCGTGAGATGAGATGGGTTGGGTTTCTGTTGATGAAGCGAGTAACCCAGCTTTCTGAAACCTCCCTACCAGCCAAAGACGACGCAAGGGAGCGTATTATTGCTCGTTTAGGGGGCGTACGTCGCTCAGTAAGCGTCGTAATATGCTTTAACAGCTCGGTTTCTTGGTGTGGGTGAAGGATTCTATGGGCGAGCGTATGCGGCTGGTTTTGGCCCTGGTGTCTTCGAGCTAGCGTACGGCGACCTACACCATGTCTTTTTGCGACTTCTGAGTACGAGAATGGTGCGCCTAATGCGCGCGATTCGATTTCTTCAATCGCTTTTTGAATCGGATCCATGGTGGTGGAGTTATGACGTGTTCTGTATAGGTGGTTGTTGTGTTGGGGTGGCCAAAACGCGAACGTGGCCAAAACGCGCACGGACATGGTAACGGACTAACGTGTCCGTGCGCGTGATGCGCGGATTCGCGTGATGCGCGGGGAACACCAAAACACGTCAAACCCCTTCACCTTCAACACACGTTAACTCCACCAATATGGACCCAATTCAAGCTGCAATTGAAGATATTGAAAATCTAGAGCCAGGAGAACAGTTCTCGTATACTAAAATTGCTGCTAAGCATGGTGTTGTGAGATCTACGTTGACCCGAAGGCACCAGGGCCAGACAAGCTCAGAAAGAGACAAGAACTTCAACCAGCAGAAACTCAACCCACAACAAGAGCTAGAGCTTGTGAGATATATCGAAAAGCTCACAAAGCGAGGCATTCCTCCTACACGAGAGATGATCAGGAATTTCTCATCAGAAGTAGCCCATCAGCAGCTCAGCGAGAGCTGGGTTACTCGCTTCATCAACCGACACGAGATCCATCTCATCTCAAAGTGGACCAGCGCCATGGATCGTACGCGCCACCTGGCTGATTCTGAGTCAAAGTATAGACTCTACTTCGAGCTGCTGCATCGAAAGATCACCGAATATCACCTAGAGGCTCGAGATATATACAATATGGATGAGAAGGGCTTCTTAATTGGCTTGATAGGCAGAAGTAAGAGGATATTCAGCAGGCGTCAATGGGAGAAGAAGGAGGTTCGAGCATCTCTCCAGGATGGATCACGCGAGTTTCTGACAGTCCTGGCCTGCTGCTGCGCTGATGGGAGCTCGCTGCCTCCAGCCCTTATCTACGCAGCTAAAAATGGAGCTATACGATCGAGTTGGGTAGAAGATATCAAGGCAGGAGAACATGAGGTCTTTGTCTCATCATCTCCAACAGGCTGGTCAAATGATAACGTAGGCCTAGCTTGGCTGGAGCAGGTGTTTGATCGCTCTACAAAGCAACGATCAGGTAGATGGAGATTGCTCATCCTTGATGGCCATGGATCTCACCTCACGATGGAGTTTATTAAGTACTGCGATCGCCATAGGATCCTCCTCATGATCCTTCCTCCCCATTCGACCCATACGCTCCAGCAGACTCCGCAACAATCAATCGGATCGGCATGATTGATTCCTATCTAGGTTAAAGGCTGCCTAATGAAGTAATTCTTTAACCTATATAGGAATCAATCATGTCAATCGATTGATTGTTGCGGAGTCTGCGCTCCAGCCGCTAGATGTAGTGCTGTTCAAGCCACTCTCTCAAGCCTACTCTAACGAGCTCACTAACCATCTCCATAAGGCTCAAGGCCTTATTCCAATCAAGAAAGGGGACTTCTTCCCGCTCTTCTGGAGCGCCTGGATATCCTCCTTCACAGAGAGCCTCATATTGAAGGCCTTCGAAGCCACTGGGATCTGGCCGATGGATGCCAACGTTATCCTTCGTAGATTTGCTAGCACGCCAGAAGCTGAGAGAAGCTCATCGTCAGGGCTCTCTGATCATGACTGGAGAAAGCTCGATCGGCTAGTACGAGCTGCTGTTAATGATAGCCATCAGTATGAGGCAAGAAAGCTGCGCTCAAGCGTTCACCATCTCTCTGTGCACTATGAGCTTTTAAAGCATGAGAACGAGGGCTTAAAGGAGGCTCTTCAACATAAAAAGAAGCACAGGAAGAAGGGCAAAGCTCTTGACCTTCAACAGCGCCAGGAGTATCACGGTGGCTCTGTCTTCTGGTCTCCTCGCAAGCTGCGTGAGGCTCGAGCTAGAGAAGCAGTACGGGAGCGAGATGAGACGGAGGAGAAACTCCAAAAAGCACGGTCCAAGAAGCAGCGCGAGGAGGCTCGACTGCAGCGTCAAGATGAGCTCGAGGAGAGGCGTGTGGAGAGGCAGAGACTCAAGGAGATGAGGGAGCTTGAGCGAGCTGAGAAAGCAGCTGAACGCGCGCGCCAGAAGGAGGAGAGAGACGCTGCTAAAGCTATACAACTACCCCAAAAGGGAAAGAGGAGAGCTTCAGCAGCTACCTCATCGAACAACAAGCGTCAAAAACGCGTTGAGGCTGCTCGCGCTGGTGCTCAAGTTCAAGAAGAGCCTCCAGCTCCTCCATCAAAGCTCACATCACGTGGCCGCAACGTCAACCTCCCATCAAAATATAGATAGTACAAGTTGATCGCAAGCATCTAATTACTCCCCCTCTATAAATTCGTATAATAACAGCTTATATACGTGGCTTAATAGCTTCATTTTTGAAGTAGTGGATATGGTGTTCCCCGCGCATCACGCGAATCCGCGCATCACGCGCACGGACACGTTAGCGCATTGGCAACACTCCCGGATTTTCAATAACAGCTCACCCACCCGTCTCTATCACACTGCATCCAAAGCAACGCAGTCACAATGTCTCTATGCGCAAGGCAACTACCGAGGACATTCAGGAAGATCTTAGCCAACCCACCAGTTCGCCATTTCTCTTCGCAATGTACACGAGTGCCAAAGTGTATAACAACATTGAACTCTCGATTGTGATGTAACAACACATCTTTCCAGCCTGTGAGCATTTTTGCATCTCGGATATCCACGGTTTCAAAAATTCAGACAAGGTTTGCATCCAATGAAGCTGAATCACAATGGACGCCTCCAGATACTTCGTCAAGATCCGTCGCTATCATAGGAGGTGAAGAACGCGGTTGTCGAGTAGCTTGCTTGTGGTTAGCTGCAGGGTACAAAGTCATTCTCCGCAACGCTACCAAAGAGCGGAGAGAGACCTCGACGCGTTACATTGAAGAGAACATTAGTGAGTATGCGAAGATCAGCGGCAAACAAGGAGATGTCAAACACTTTACTACTCTATCGTATCGAAGAGGCGGTCAAAGATGCATGGCTGGTAGTTGACGCACGACCTGATATGGAGGAACTCAATATGCACACCATGGTACTAGCGTATCGGCACGCGCCCAAAGACTGTATCATGACTTTGGATATTTCTCCATCCAAGTCGCGCTCTAAGACGAATGAATTGGATAAGGGTTGTCGACACCGTGTGTGCAAAGTGCGTTACAAGAAGCTACCCAGCAGCAAAATAGTAGAGCTCATGACGACCGGAGATACGCGCAAAGATGTCCTAACCTTCCTGCAAACCAGGCTTCAGGACGCGAGCATGGAACCAGCCATTGTGGACGAATGCTCGCCTGCTCGCATATCTGACGATACTGAAGACTCTCCCTGGGAAATTCCATTGCCATCGCACGTTCACCGTGGCAATCCCGTATATGTATACGAGAAAAATTCATCTAAAGGATTTGATTTGATAGGACACTTTGTATCTCCTGGCAGAGCTGCACAATTTATAGGTTTAGGCAAAAACGCTATGCGCTTATATTTGCACTCGGGGCAGGCCTACAACGATAGATACAGAGTTTCGCACAAGTTAAGGACTTAAGTTGTAAGAACCATGTCTTCAAGTCAACTGGATTCGGAACGATTCAACGGCCTTTGTATTGAGAGGAGAAACACCAGTAGCATCTTATGCAAACATGCAAATGCTGCTGCTTCGACTCATTGTGGCGCTCAGACATCGAGTTACTATTTGGCGAACTATCCTAACCGATTGATCTGGAATATGGGCCAGAGAGTCAGCCGATGTCCCGGACGGACCGCGCCGAGCACCATTGATAAGCATACGAGAGCAGCAGCGGCGTGAGTTTGGGAGCTGAGCAGATAGAGGAGGAGATGGGAATTGTGGAATTAGCAGAACATTTTCACAAGGCAATTGGATTAAGAAGAGATGCCGTGAATCGATCAATTCACCTTATGGATCTGGGGCAGTGCATAGCTACGACATGGATGATACGGAAGAAGATTCCTGAGACGGATCCCGCAATCTCTGGTATTGCACTCGCACAACTTTAGCAGCCTAGTATAATATAGATTCCAGTATATTCGCGATACATGGACAATTGAGGTTGCAAGACGAGTGTGATGCTACATCGTCGGCGTTTGACGGCGATAACAGATGCCGACAACTCCCGGCAAGCCAAAAACATCATTACCGCGGAAATATCGGCCTAAGCTTACAAAACCTCCAGAAGCCCTCCAGGCAGCAAAGCACGATAGCAACAACGACGAAGACGAAGACACCGACAACCACGAAAAAGGACCAATCGCGTTCCAATTGACCTCGCAAAACTTCTCAACCCCCGCTCCCATCCTATAAAAACACCAACACCACCACGATGAACACAATCTCCCCACCCCCGCGCATAGTAAAACGTCTCTCAGGCCCCAAACGCGTCTTCGGCGTCCTCGTCGGCATAACCGGCGGCCTCACCGCCAACGTGCTTCTCGCCTACAGCGTATCCTCCTTCTACACACGCAACACGAAATTCATCCCGTACGACACCTCGTCCCCCGACCTCGGCACCTCGCTCTTCCGCTCACACAACCCGCTGTCCAACCCACCTGGCTGCATAGACCACGCCATCAAAGAAATCCCTTACGGAAAGCTACCGCAGAAATACTGGATACAGGGTGGTAGCGGGGGCAAGATAACGGTCGATCAGCGGGCGCTGACGACGGACTTCTGTCGCGGGGTGTGGAGTGGAGTTGCATTTAGGGTTCAAAGACGGTATCTGGAGCGCAAGTATCGCGCGTTGGAGGGGCGGGATGCGCATCTTTGGGATGTGAAGGATTTGGCGAAGAGCGAGTATCCGGTTGGAACGGGGATTGTGGATCATTTTGAGGTTGTGGAGCATACGGATGATAAGGTGTGTGCACCCCCTAGTAGCCGTTCCTGCGTATTGAGTTATACAGACTGACGTATGTGTGTGTGTGTGTGTGTGTTAGGTTGTGGTAAGATGCGGTGATACGCCATTCAACAAGGACCACAGACCCTCCGATGGCTTGTTTTCAATGGAGGTTAGTAAAGATGATGAGGCGCAGGTGGCGACGTTTCATCTCAAGTCGGTGTTTGTGAATACGACTGAGGGAGGCAAGGGCGCGGAGCCGTTGCCGTGGAACTTTCAGTTTGCGCATAGGTGGTATACTAAGTTGTGGATGGAGAGTGCGACGAGGAAGTTGATTAAGGAGGCGTAGGGTGCGGTGGGAATAGATGTGAAGTGGATGAGTGGGGGTGGAAGGGATTGATCGTCATCACTCTAGGAGGAGTATGTAATGTTGAAACTCATAATCCGTCGAGGTTTAAGGCTACGATATCGTTTAGTGGACTTGAACCTTACAGTTATTATGTTTTGGTATCTCAGAATATCAAGCACGTAAGCCCATACATCACGAAGGTGACTTGATGTTGAACTGAACAGTGATGAGATGACATTCTATCTACGGGATAAAAGGGTCCGTCTATATAGACAGGACGCTTGCTATCTAGAAATATCAAACAGGTGAGCAAGCTGATTGTGCATGGGATGGAAGCTGCAATCATATGATCCATCACTTGATTAGACTTCATTTCAACCCGCGAATCCTACAAAAGCTGGTCCACTACACTCATGCGTATCATACACGCATCTCCCAAACAAGCCCTCCACCCGCCTATATCTCTCATTCCCCCAAAGCATCCCCCTCTCCCACCCCCAAATCACCCCTCCATCCACCTCTCAACCTCCCCCTTCCACTCCTCCCTCCACCTACTCAACGGCGGCCGCCCTTCAACAACATCCCCCACACTCCAAAGCATCCTCTTCCTATCCATCTCCTCCGTAACCTGGCCATCCGGACAAACGATGTAGAATTTGTTTTCTTGCATCTTTTCATACATGTACTCTGCGACTTGGTCGGCGGACCATGCGCCGTCTGGTTTGGGTGTGGTGTTGGTAGGGGTGTTGCCGGCCTGTGTAGGGGGGGAGGGGGGAGGGTTGTTAGTGTGGTGGTTTAGGTAGGATAGGGCGGGGGGAAGGATGGATGGGATAGTGAGAAGGGGGGAAGGGGGAGGAATGAAGGAAGAGGGAAGGCATAAAGACTCACAAGTCCCGTAAACGTCCACCCCGGCACCAACAAATGCACCCCCACGCCCGTACCCCTAAAATCCCAACTCAAATGTTCCGTAAGCGTCTTCACCGCTGCTTTACTAGCATTATACGCCGGGTTACCAGGCGGATTTGTGATACCCTGTTTACTCCCCGTTACCACTATCGCCTTGTTTACCTTTTCCCTATCCGCACCCGCATCCGCGCCACCATCTTTCCCCCCAGCGTCACGAAGAAATCCCGGAACAAAAACATTCAATCCCTCCACCACACCCCCCAAATTCGTCCCCAACACTTCATCAAAATACCCGCTATCCCCCCACGTCTTCGTCCCGTTCCCGCTCCCACCGCCACCAACCCCCGCGTTCAACATGAGGAAATCTACATTTTGAGCGCCGTTGACTATCTGTTTGATACGGGCCCAGTCAGAGCGGGAAGACACGTCGGCGCAGATAATTGATAGGGTTGCGTTCTTTTCTTTGGCGAGGTCTTGCAGCGTGGTTTGCGCGTGGGATAGGGCTGATGCAGAGTTGTCGACGAGGGTGACGTGCATGGAGTGGGAGAGGCAGAGGCGGGCGACGGCGTGGCCGATGCCGGATGCGCCGCCTGTTATGAGGGCGTGGGCGGAGGGGCGGAATGGGGACATTTTTTGGTGTGTTTTTCTTGGAGGGCGGGGTTGGGGTGTGGTGTTTTATGGGTTGTTTCTTGGGGGGAGAGGGGATATAAGAATGATGTTTCTTGTTGATCTGCTGCTGCTGCTGTTGCTGCTGGGTGATGTCATGTGGGGGTTATCTTAACTCCGGACTCTACGAGAAGGCAGGTATCACGAGCTTGAGTCTTTTGCCTTTTGCTCATCTTCTGGTGGAGATTTTTCGTCGCAGTAGTTGGAAGATATGATGCGGTTCGTCTAGAAAGTTGCGGGTATAGCTTCGTATTAAGATTATGAATGTGTTGTGTGCAAGGAAATGGGGTATATATGTACAGTCTAGCGGGGTATGTTTCTATCACCTCTCCTCTTTATTATCCTCCTCTTGTCTCTCGTCTCTTGTATTATCATGCCTTGCTACTACTACCAGCAGCCGCAAGTGTTGATAAATCTTCCTGCGCAGTCTCGAATCTCTCGGCATGTGGTCGCTCCACCACCTTGTCAACCTCTTCAGCCTTCGCCTCCTCTTGTTCTACTACAAACTCCGACACAGGAGCAGCAGTGAAGAACCTTTCTATACCCGGTCGCTCTTCTTTGAGAACTTGCTCATTCACACTCTCTTCCACCGTGTTTTCGGGAATCATTTCGATTTGCTGGTCATCGACCGCAGGCGGTGTGGCCATGTTCACACTGGTAAGTGTAACCGTACTGGCATTTACATCTCTGCCGTCTGGTCCGTCGACTTTGAGGCTGAATGGGTAGGCGATGCCGCCTGCGGTGGGCCGCGTAGTCAACGTATCAGTTGCTGGGATCAGGGTGCTCGGTAATGCGGGGTTATCTGACGGAATAACGGTAATGTGTAATCCCTCATCATCCCGTGAATCCAAAGACAACGATACAGCTGAAGCAGAGCGTTCAGGGGCCAATGTCGTTGCGTCAGCGAGTCCAGATTCTGGCGCGGCAATCTTGGAAAGATCGGTGGTAGGCATTGGATCCTGAGACTCGAGAGTTTGACCACGGTCCGTTATGGTGGAGTGGCGGGAACGGGATCTAGATCGCGTTCTCATGCTTGGAGAAATGAAGCCTATGCCACGGCTTCGTTTCGGTTTGACTTGTGCTGCAACGTTGGCGGCAGGGGTTGCTGGTTCTTGTACGGTTACGGACGGCTCCTCGCCGGTTTGGTCGGCCTTTTTCTCTCGTACAATCTGGTTGTGTCAGCATAGGCGAGCCTAAATAATGCAATTTACTTACTGTCGCCTGGTCGTGACTACTACCCCAGCCGGACCACATGGACATTCCCCAACTCTTCTTCTCCTTTGTCTTCTTGGTCTTCATGCCCTTCAATCTGCGGCCAGCCAACGCTGTTGGCGGTGGCGTCTCGCCATCGAACCCTTCGAAGCCCTTCTGCATATCCTTGATTCGCTGCTTCTGAATCTTGATCTTTTGCTTAGAAAACTTCTTATTCCATTCAGCTTGCGCTTTCATCCATTTGCCAACCGGGCCGGGTTTTGGCACACCAATGTCCTCGTTCGGAAGATTGAGCGCAACTAAGTCTTCCTTCGCTACAAGCGGATAAATACGTCCGTGTCTATCGATACGTTGACGAATCATGTAGTGCTCGAAAGCTGGAATCGGATCACCAGCTCGACCAACACGTGCATCTACCTTTGCTTTCTTCTTAGGCTTTGCGGGACTAGGTTTGGGTGCTGGTTGGGCAGAAGGTGATTTGGGACCATCTGAAGAGGAAGAGCTCTCTTTATCTGACTCTGATGATGAACTCGAACCGGTACTCATAACCGATATGTCATCATCGTCGAGAATATCGATAGATTTCTTTTGAGCCCGCGCGAGTGCCCAGGCGCCAAATTGAGCGATACTGCGATACATGTGCTTCGCAGGTCGGGTGAAACTGAGAGTAGGACAGACATGGCATAAATCGTCCCAAACCTGGAGCTGAACGTTGGTTGGTTTGTACTTTGCAGCTTGAGCTTGGATAGCTTCAGCAGTCTGGTTGTTGGACGGTGGTGGTAGGTATGCCAGCGGCTGAGCAGCCTTGTGAGCGACGTAGATTTGTTCGTCTCTGAGCAGTTCCCCACCACCCGTCTGGATCAGCAAAGGCGGTAGCCCTCCAAGTGTTGGTTGTAGAGCAGGTGATACCAATGGATGAGTCAAGAGATGGTTAGAAACATACATCTGAATCTGATCCTTGATCTCGACACGTGCATCCTCGAGTTGAACAGACAGCTGGCTTTTAGGTCCAATACTATATTTACCGTTTGGAGAAATCCACACGCCTGTGTCTTGTCCTGTAGCGGAAGGGTCCTGAACGTGATCTGTGTCGGGTTGTTCTCCTGATTGCACCGAGTAGCCCTGTACACGTTGCTCTTTAGCTTCCTTTTCCGCGGCATGGTCTTCCTTTTTGTCTGGAGTATCGCTAGCCACTTGGGTCTTGGAGTGCGTTTCGATTCCGAGCAGGTCGTCTGCATTGGGTGGTGCTAATATGGATCAGTAAGTATTCAGAAATTGGCGAAATGCAACTCACGCCAGCTCATGCTAGGCTTGTGAATAAATCCATGCGAAGGAATGTAATCCATCTTGTCATCACCCCCAAGACTTGGAAAGCTGTGGGTCAGATCCACCCAAGGACTGATCAGAATGGCTCCGGCGGGTAGAGGGATGCCTTGGTCACGCATTGTCACCAATATGCTCAAAACCATGCCGCCACCGGCTGAGTCGCCGGCAAGAATAATAGTTGCAGGGTCGTGCTTCTGCTCGAGGAGGTAGAGGTATGCTGCTAGGCCTACAGGGTGTCAGTCGAGCAGTTTGGCAAATCGATAGGGCCACCCACAGTCTTGTAGACCGCATGGGAAGGGGAATTGTGGTGCCAATCTGTATTTTGGCGCCAGCACTCTGGCCTTGAGCTTGCGAGCGTGGCGCTGCATCTGATAGCGGTGTTCATCTACACTGCCAAAGAAGTAGGCGCCACCATGCACATACAGCATGATGCGGTCTCCCTTATGAATCGCCAATTGTTTCCTAGCCTCAAAGTCCTTGCGCATCTCGATCCATTCTGCCTTGAGTGTGCTCTCCTCGCGTCTCCATTGCCACCAATTGGTTCCCCCAACTGCCTTGACGCCCTCGGGGCCCAATTGGGCCGTAATGTGCTGCGCTGAACGCTGCAAGAGACTGCTCGATATTTCAACTACTTCCACATGTACCCAGCGTGGTACGGGAACCCATTGCGAGGTAAAGGCTTGTAGTTCGTCGACGGTATGAAAGGAAGCATAGTTGAGAAAGCGACGGATGAGCTCAAGGCCTTCGTGGTACGAGATGTGCGCAGTTGGCTTCTGTGCAAGTGGGCGACGATTCAGATAGTGCGATAGCCATGTTTGGATTACTACAGGTGTCACTGCAGCCCCGACGGATATGGTGTTGACGGGCATCGTGACTTCGGCTTCGGCTTCAGGGGTTACGGAGCTATCGGAGATGCCAGCTGGACTGAACCGACGCGCCAGAAAGCCGATGGAAAGAGACAAGGGTGTGCGACGTCGCGCGCCTTCAAAACTCACAGCGCGCCTTAACAAAAGAAAAGTGTACAAATAAGGAGAAGCGCAAAGATGAGGCTCGAGAAGGTTAGGGGTAGGGGAGAGTGGAGAAGAAACCCCGGATTTGCGCTTGGGAGCGCGCATGGCCCCACACACTACGTCATAGGGGCCTGAAGATTCAAACTATATATCTTACATGTTGGGTGTAAGCTTACCATGTCGAAGATACTTTGAGAATATGATGAGGACACCATTGAGTAATCTCTCAGCGGTGAAAAGCGGCAGTTTCCTTATCAAGATAGCTTATCGGGACATGACAACACAAGTGAAATTCCCGCTGATGACGCGCTGGTGGAAATTTATGGCAATTCCTATTGTCGCGACGTTGCGCGTCTAAAAAGATCGTCTCGCAAGCTCCGGTAAGTAACTGCAAAAAAACGGGCGCTTCGTACAAGTGCTTACCATACATCGAGCTATGCCATCTGGGCTACGGTACAGAACTGCTTCGTGTTGATCTCTGCGTACGTTCATGCTCATGTCTGCCGGCAATCGAGCATAAGCACTGGTGATGTGCCAGGATGCGTGATTAGTGGTGGACTAGGTCGACTCGACAGTACTGAGATGGTCGTATCTATGGTAATATTCATATGCCCTGTCTATATCAACCTCGGAACCGCCGGAGATAAGACTAGAACAGAAAGCGAATGCGGGGTGAAGGTCAAGCTATACCCGTGTGTGTTATCATCCGTTTTTTCCACGTGTCTTCCTGGGAGAATCTCGCCGTTGTTCTGACAGGAAGTACCCCTCGCAATGACAAGGAATGGGTGGTCGGCCAAATTCAACGCGACGGTGCGATATTGCACCGAAACGGCTGATTCCTGCATCTGCTTCCGTATCCTCTCGAACCCAATTGAGCAAACCGCTGCAGTCAGACCGAAATCGGAAGCATACGCATACAGTCCTCCGCTTGTTCCCGTCTAGTGTGATAGGAAGAGCGTGCGCAATCAGCAGTAAGTACATGTAAGGGTACTGCAGTCTTGGCAGAATCCATGGTCGGCATCATACACAGGCCGGCGCGAGAAAGGTCAAGCACAGCTGCTCAAGTCGTCGACCATCCGCCATTGCCACAACGAGAAGGTATCACGCCAGCGATCGACAAGGCGCTACCTTAGCAGCATCTCTGAGAATCATCTTGTCTCAAAACGTCGTGGCCGATTGCGCGCGCACACACAAGCGCCAAGTAGAAAGCAGCCACCCACGGCAGGTCCAGACGGTAAGAGAGTCAACATGGTGGAGCAATTGCCAACGCATGCACATAGTGCATCATGCAGGTGCGTTATGTTACCTTGGCTAGGGGACGTAACCGCGTCTATCAAATCTGCAACGGCTCGAGTCAGCCTACTGAACCATGATTTCCACTCGAGGTAAGCCCCAGCTTGCCGCGGGAGCCACCGGAGCCGCCCGCTGTCAAACCCTATCGTGGGGGCTAACGGTACCGTATGCTGGGTCGGAACGCCGAATCTCCAGCCCTCACCAACACCGCCAGGCTTGTGCGCCGAACTAGCCGTCACGTCCATGGACTTGCCACAGAAAACAAACCCTACATGAAAGAGGGCCCTCTTCTCGCGTATTCGGAGCATAATCCTTACGGATGCACGGAATTATGCACTATCCACACATCCAGCATGCGGGTTTCGACGTAAGTTTTTGCCTAAACAAAGCCCCACGGAGCTAGTTGAGCTTCTCCTGTGTCACTGGCCCGGCATGGCAGCCAACGCGTGATGCACATGCTGCTGGATTATCGCCGATATGGCTAAGACGCCGAGACTATATTCGGTCGTTGAATACGACGACATGCTGTCTTTCCCTTGTGACCCCTGTCGACTTACCCTACGGGAACATGTCCAGCATATCAAGACTGCTTTTTCTACCTCTCCGTTTTCCATCAACACATCCGTGAGACACAGACACACGCCAAAATGAAGGCAGAACAGCAATCCACTCTTCTCGAGCTGGCCAATAAGGTCCAGCAATTGACAAATCAAATTGTCAACGACTTGACCGAGAAGAAGATACCAGAACCTTCCTTCGCCGCTAGCTCTGATCCCATCCCTGAATCGTCAGAGTACATTGAGCTACGCGATCGTCTGAATGATTCCGCACGTGACTTGCTCCGTCTCGTCAACGGTCCCAGGAACGATGCACGAACTTTTGTGTGCTACCTTTACGACTTGGCTTCCTGGCAGGTAGCATGTGAGTTCAACTTCTTCGAGGCGATTCCAGAAGATGGCACAGCGACCATAAAGGAGATTTCGGAGAAAGCCGGCATGGATGAAGATCGTGTTGGGCGTTTCTTGCGAATGTTGACCACAGATCGTGTCTTTGAAGAAGTGGAAAAGGACGTCTTTAAACATACATCCAGAAGTGTCATCTACCTCAAGGACAAGCAATGGAGAGATGTGATGAACTACCAGTAAGACTATTGCGTCTAGTGCAGTGGTGTTCTAGTACTAAGTCTGCACAGGCTCGACGAGTTCTTCAAAGCAGCTGCCGAGACTTCCGACAGTATCAGGGAGTCGCCTACTGTCGCTGATGGCCAAAGGAACGCTTTCGTCACAAGACATGGAAAGAGCCTTTTCGAATTCTACAAGCAAGACCCCACGCGATCAGTTCGTTTTGCCAGCGCGATGGCCGGTGTCTCCAGACGTGAGTGGCAGCCACTGTGAACTGAAATGGCCATACTGACCGTCAAAGTCGAGAGACACTTTGAAAATCTCAAGGAGAGTTTCCCTTGGGATCAGATCAGCGGCCGGAAGGTGATTGATGTTGGAGGTGGCAGTGGCCATATGAGCGTCTCACTCGCCAAGGTATGCGGTTTCTCACCGTCTCTGTGATTCCAACACGACTGATTATCGTGCAAGGCCTTTCCCAATCTTGAGTTGATTGTTCAAGATTCTCTGAGCATGCTTTCGTCGGCTTCGCAAAACGACTTTTCGCAACTCAATGGCCGCGTGACTTTTATGCCTCACGACTTCTTCACTCCTCAGCCAGTGACTGGTGCAGCCGCGTATCTTTTACGTTACATCACGCACAACTGGAATGATGCGGACTGCATTCGTATCTTCCGAGCACTGGTACCCGCACTGGAGAAAAGTCCCCCCGGCACTCCGGTGCTAATCAACGACGTCGTGCTTCCAGCGCTTGGTGAGGCGTCGAGGTTCCACGACAATCGCATGCGTCAAGTCGATATTATGATGATGTTGGTCCTGGGCGCCAAACAACGAACTGAGGAGCAGTTCCGGCGCCTTCTCTCTGATGCCGATGCCCGCTTCAAGGTGAGTCTTTTTACGCTAAATCGCGATTCAAAGTGCTGACGTCGACTGCAGATCAGGGCTATCCACGACAAGGGTAACATGTCCCTTATCGAGGCGTTTCTCGATATTGATGGCAAGTCTGCTGATGGGCAAGAGGAGAAGGCGGCTCTGGAAAGCACTAAACGCACCGGAGCTCGTATGTGAGAAGAAAGCTGTGCAAGCTAGATGGCAACCAATCAAAAATTTGCGGGCTGACGTCGGTCATCGTGATTCGTGTAATGCAAGCAACTGTGCCTCTTGACTACGTACCCACCGCTGCTCATCGAGTACGGGCCCAGCCAGGTGGTAAAAGAACCAAAGAAATGAGCGCGGATTGGTGCCGGATGGGACGCTGAGACGCTGGGACGGCGGCTGTGCGTCCCGTGCCCAGGCGTGCCTGTCGCTACGCATACCGGCAAACGAATTAGCCTGTACTTGCACCTCCTCGCAACAACGTCGCGGTTGCGGTCGCCATTCAATCCTCTGCTCCACCCCCCACGTGTTCGCCGACATGGCACCGCGGCTATCAGCCACAGATGACACTTGCAGCTTGCTCTTGGGAGAGGCCAAGAAGCGCTGGAAACGATTTTGGCGGCTGCCTCGATCGATAACCCAACTTGACAAGCTCCAGCTCCACACGCGGCACAGTCACATTACTGTACTACTGTACCAGCTCCACACCCTCCTCGGTTCTTTACCAATTCCACGTTGCCTCTATGCCGCCTCCTTGCAGGCTGGAGAAATGCAATTCTGCCCTGCCAGACCCTCCTCAAACGCCATGCATTCGCCGCCTGCAGCCCTCACCGCTGCTTTGTCCCATTCGCCGTGGCACGGGCGAAGCCACACGGACGGCTTGACGGCTTGACATGGCCTCTGGTAAAGAGCTTTGATAGGCCGTGTACGAAACCCGGCTCCCCCATGTCTTAAAAGGATGCTCAAGTAACAGATCGAGAGCTATTCCGGGAATCCCTCTAGGAGCAACCAACAACAAACCACCACGTAATCGCAGAACTCGTGGTGGTCTGAACGCATATCCCATACAAGCTACTAACCAGCCTCTAAAGAGTGGCCCTGTGCATGTGCCTCGAAAAATGGTTTGACCCCAGCCAACAAGCGTAATGGCGTCTTGGACTTTTCCCGATATGACTGCCATTTTTCAATTCGAGTCAAATCATTCGGCAGAGCGGAGAAATTGGGCAAGCCATATTCCCAATGCACGCAATCACATCTCTTCGCTTCCTTCCAGGAAGCTGATGCGATGTTCCCACCCGAATCCACATCAGTCCAGTGAACGAAGGATGCAAAACCCTGTTTCAAATACACAAGCTGCAAGTTCATTCTAGTTGGCGCATCTTTTGCAGCTAAGCGCGTCATTCGAGACCATGCTATAGGCATAGGAAGGAATCCCATAGCTAATCCACCCTCTATCGCCTGGCCACTGTCGAGATAGTCTTATATCACCTGGCACGGGTCGCCTTGCTCGGATCCTTATTCATTATACCCGGCATGTAGATAACTGTCACATGGCCCTACTTTTAACTTTGCACTTTTCGTATCAAGGCCGCAGCAAGGTTTATCCCAGCACACGATTACACGGCCACGATGGTGTTTTCAGACACAAAGCCAATGCCTATCGCCATTGTAGGCTTTGGTTGCCGATTCCCTGGCGACGTCACAAATGGCGACAAGCTATGGGATATGTTGATGGACAGGAGGTCGGCTCGTACAGAAGTTCCTGGGGATCGCTTCAACATTCAGGCGTTCTACAATCCCGACGGCGATCGTTATGGAACCGTAAGTTCGCGTCATACCGAGTTCGGTCCGTTTTGATTAACTTCATCCAAGTGCAACAACCGCGGAGGCCATTATCTTACGGAAGATGTCTCCCTCTTCGACGCGCCCTTTTTCTCCATCTCGCCGGCCGAGGCCATGGCTATGGATCCCATGCAGCGATTACTGCTTGAGGTGACCTACGAGGCACTAGAAAACTCGGGAGCGCCGCTTTCCAGAGTATCAGGGTCCAAAACATCATGTTATATCGGATGTTTCACAAAGGACTACGAGGAGATGCAACGGCGAGATGTGGAGCTGGCTCCCAAATATCAGTCTACAGGGGCATCACAAACAATGCTTTCCAACCGCCTGAGCCACTTCTTCAACTTGAAGGGCCCTAGTATAAGCATAGACACAGCCTGTAGTAGTGGACTTGTTGCTGTGCATCTTGCATGCCAGAGTCTACGATCAGGAGAAAGTACCATGGCAATCGCTGGGGGTAGTAACCTCATCTTGAGCCCGGACATACAAGCAGAAATGAGCGACATGCACTTTCTGGGTCCAGACTCAATTTCATACGCATTTGACGACCGAGCTAATGGCTATGCACGAGGCGAAGGTATCGGTGTAATCATACTGAAGCCGCTCGACCTAGCATTGCGCGACAACGATCCCATCCGAGCCATTATACGTGGCACAGCTGCCAGCTCCGACGGTCGAACGCCGGGAATCACCATGCCTTCAAAGGACGCTCAAATCAACCTCATTCGCTCAGCTTATCATGCAGCGGGCGTCGACGTAAGCGAAACGGGATATTTCGAGGCACACGGGACGGGAACGGCTGCAGGCGACCCCATAGAAAGTGGCGCAATTGGCGATGTCTTTGCAGCAAGCCGCCCGTGTCGCAAGGCTGCAGCAACCGAGGAAGCCATACCCCTTCCCATTGGTTCCATAAAAACGAATATTGGTCATTTGGAAGGGGCGAGCGGTATAGCTGGCATCATGAAAGCCATGCTTAGCGTCGAGAAAGGCATCATTGCGCCAAACCTCTGGTTTCAACGGGGCAACCCAGCCATTGATTTTGAAGCATGGCGGATTGAGGTTCCCACGGAGCCAAAGGAGTGGCCATTGGACGGTCTGCGCCGCGCCAGTGTCAACTCGTTTGGCTATGGAGGAACCAATGCCCACATCATTCTTGATGATGCACATCATTTTCTTCAACTTTACCATCGTCAAGTTAGTCACAGCAGGAACGACTCAGGATTCGTCAGCCCTGTCAACGACTCATGTCCAGTTGCTACTCCAAGACCACGACTCTTCCTACAGTCTGCCAATGATGAGCGGAGTGTGCGACAGATGGCTCAAGCGCTTATCAACCATCTTCAGGTACGAGAGGTGTTCAACGAAGACCAGTTTCTAGACGACCTTGCGTACACGCTCTGTGAGCGTCGCACTCGCTTCTCTTATACCGCTGCCGTCGTCGCAACACACAAGTCTGATCTCGAGACGAAGTTGCAACACGTGCGCCCGGTTTCCAGTAGCACCACCAAATCACCCCGAATAGCCTTTATATTCACAGGCCAAGGGGCGCAGTGGTGGGGCATGGGCAGGGAGCTACTACATTACCCAGCCTTCAGACTGAGCTTGCAGAGATGCAGCACTGTCGTCGCAAGCCTGGGGGCAGATTGGTCACTGATGGAAGAGCTACTCAAAGGCAAAGATACCTCAAGAGTCAATGAGGCAACTTACAGTCAGCCACTATGTACCGCTCTCCAGATTGCACTTGTTGACTTACTTGCGACGTGGAATATCGAACCACAAAGCGTCGTTGGTCATTCCAGTGGTGAGATTGCCGCTGCATACGCTACTGGTGCGTTGAATATTGAGTCTGCCATGACTATCGCCTTCTTCCGTGGCTCCTTGTCGCCAAAGGTCAAAGGCATGGGCTACAAGGGATGCATGATGGCGGTCGGCTTGTCCGAAGACGAGGCCAACAACGAGATTGATAGTCTAGGCGACAGCCTTGGCAAAGTAGTCGTGGCATGTGTCAATAGTCCACGAGGTGTTACAATCTCCGGCGACGTCGATGCCATCAACAACTTGCAGAAAGCCTTGGACGCGAAAGGCATCTTCGCTCGGGCGCTGCAAGTAGACACGGCGTATCACTCTCATCACATGCAAGTCATCGCGGAAGAGTATCTTTCTCGGCTTCAGGAGGCGCAGGTCACAGTACAAAATACTGATGGACGCGTGGCCATGTTCTCATCTGTCACTGAAAACATCGTCGACCAGACCAGCCTTGGCGCCGAGTACTGGGTATCCAATCTTGTAGGAAGTGTCCGCTTTGCTGGAGCGCTCGAGAAGCTATGCACATCGAACCCCAGTGAAGGTACGCCCAGTGCCGACATTCTGCTTGAAGTAGGACCGCATGCCCTCTTCAAGCTTCCAGTCAAAGAGACTCTGGAGAATATGGCTGGTAACAAGTCACATATCCAGTATTTCTCCACACTCATTCGAAACAAGCCCGCGAACGTCACAGCGCTAGATGCAGCAGGGTCACTATTTTCCTACGGACACCCAGTCGATCTACATGCAATCAACTTTCCCAGCGAACCCAAACAGCCGCTCTCCGTCTTGACCAATCTACCGCAATACACCTGGAACCATACTCGCAGCTACTGGTGCGAGTCACGGTTAAGTCGTGACTACCGGTTTCGTCAGTTCGCTCGCACCGACATATTGGGTGCACCTGCCATTGATTGGAACCCCATGGAACCCAGGTTCCGGAATTTCATGCGGTTGCGCGAACAGCCGTGGCTCAGGGACCACATGGTTCAGGGTGACATACTTTTCCCAGCTTGTGGGTTTCTTTGCATGGCTATTGAGGCTTGTCGGCAGATGTCCGTTATCTCGCCATCGACTTTTTTGCCTGCAGGTGCCACTGCCGTTGGGGAGTACCGGCTTCGGGAGGTTAATATTTCACGAGCACTCGTTGTACCGGATTCGGACGAAGGCGTGGAGACATCCTTTTCCATGCGATGTCGTTCAAACACCAGCCGTTCAAGCTCGGATGCGTGGCATGAGTTCACCATTTATTCTTACACAACTGAAGGAGGTTGGGTGGAGAACTGCAACGGCCTTCTTTCAGTAACAGATCAAACCGCTACAGACGACCAGCTTGTCGGGGAATGCCTCAGGAAATGGACATCGGCACATTCTGCCAGCGTAAGAAAGTTGGAGACAGACAAGTTCTACAGTACCGCCGATTCCATAGGTCTATCTTATGGGCCCATGTTCCAGGGCCTTCAGAACATCAGCATCGATCCCAAATATCCCAACCAGGCCACGGGCGTTATTGAAGTCACAGACACAAAGTCTGTGAATCCCAAACAATTCGAACATGATCGATTATTACATCCAGCTACCTTGGATACCTTTTTGCAATTAGGGTTGGCCGCGCTGGGAGGTGCCGATCTTGTCCAACTCAAGGGCGCCATGGTACCGACTTTCATAGAGGAAATATCGGTATCAGCAGACATCTCAGCACAAATCGGCGATCGTCTGAATGTGCTAGTCAAGGCTGAGCGATTCGGTACAAGAGAGGCCACTGGCGATATCTTCGCGATAGACCCGATCACGTCGAAACCAGTTGTACTCATGGATGGCTTCAAATTTGTGGCTATCAACACTATCAATGAGTCTAGCAAAACCCAGGTATCGCCGAAGCATTGCTACAAACCAGTGTGGGAACCGGATGTTGAGCTCATTGATCGTGAACACCTCAACCGGGAACTCCAAGCAGCGCCGCGACCAGACGACCGACCAAAGACTGTGAGAGAATTGGAGCTACTTTCATATTACTTCATCGACAAAGCTCTACAGCAGGTGACAGAAGAAGAAGCGGCTGGTATGCTACCACATCATCAGAAGTTCTACCAAAACTTGTGCGAGCTACGGGAAGCTGTGTTGAATAAGTCGCATCCTCAACAAACCGAAGAGTGGCAGCAGCTTCATACGCCAGAAGTTGCATCGAAGCTTGAAGCTTTGGTGGAACACTACCGCAACCATCAGACAGCTTATGATGGTAAGCTACTTGTACGAGTGGGTGAAGCCCTCCCAGCCGTGTTTAGACAAGAGGTAGAGCCTCTAGCATTGATGACACACGAGAACCTGCTCGAGGACTACTATACCACTGCCGTAGGTATGCCCAACACGTATGCACAAATCTCTCGCTACACATCCCTGCTTTCCCACAAGTACCCCAATCTCGACTATCTTGAGATCGGCGCCGGTACTGGCGGAGCAACGGTTCCAACACTCAGGGGTCTAAGTGGGCGTGAAGAATCGCAAGCCTACCCCCGCTTAGGCTCCTACACCTATACAGACATCTCGTCCTACTTCTTCCAGCGCGCTGCCGAGAAGTTTGAAGAGTTTTCCCAATTCATGAAGTTTAAGAAACTGGATGTTGAGCATGATCCTGAAACCCAAGACTTCAAGCCTGCATCGTACGATGTTATCGTCGCAGCTAATGTACTTCACGCTACCTCGGACATGCACCGCACCATGACACATGCTCGAAAGCTTCTCCGACCAGGTGGAAGACTCATCCTCTTGGAGATGACAAACCGTCTTCTTGCCGCGTCAGTCATCTTCGGTACCCTTCCGGGTTGGTGGAACGCATCCGAAGAATGGCGCACAGGTGGTCCTCTGCTCACCGAATCCCAGTGGGAGAATCTGCTCCACTCCACGGGCTTCAGCAGTCTTCAAGCTAGTAGTCCAGACGTGCTTGATCCGCTTGAAGAAGGTACCAGACTCATGATTGCTACTGCCGTTGAAACAAAACCTGTTGTATCGAATGGTTTGATCACGCCACCCGAACGTCCTCGCTTCATCATCTTATGCCCCGACTCACGCATCAGGATGACAAGATTGGATATGCCATTGGCCCTCAAGTCGAGACTGGAGAGGGCTGGTCTCCAAACACAGCTCATGTCACTCTCAAAGATCGACAGCCAAAACCTCGATCGGACGGTTTGCATCAGCTTCGTCGAGCTTGAAGAGTCTCTTCTCGCTAATCCTACCTCGAGCGACATGAAGAGGCTTCAGAAGATCGCGGAGACATCATCGGGTCTGGTTTGGGTTACCCGCGGCGCTGCATCCTCGGATGTTGATTGTCCTGAGCTTGCCGTCTTCCAAGGTCTAGCGCGAACTCTCCGCGCTGAGAACGAAGGCTTCTCTTGCGTCACTGTTGACCTGGATGCCAAGGAGAGACTACCTGCACATAAAGTTGCCGAGTTACTCTTCAACATGCACGAAAAGCAACTCGTGCCCGGTCAGCGCTTTGGCCTCGCAGATAGCGAGTTCGTCGAGCAAGGCGGTGTACTTCACATCAAGCGCGCCCTGCCAGCCGAGAAGCTGAACCAATTCCTGGTCGCTCGTACTGATGCCGGAAAGCTGCAACCGCAATTGGAGACTGTGTTGCAAGAAGGTCGGCCGCTGAAACTCAGTTCATCCAATACTAGTGCGACAGGCCCGTTTGTTTTTGATCAAGATATCGATTTTTCCCGGCCGTTGCAAGCAAATTTTGTCGAGATCGAAGTTCACGCTACCAGTCTCAATGCTCAGGATGTTGGGATCCTGAATGGCGGACACTCGACCGGCAAGCTCGCTCAAGGATGTACAGGTATTATCACGAAGACTGGAAGACATGTTGACAACCTTGCAGTAGGTGGTCGTGTCGTAGCGTGGTGTCCAGACTCTTTCGCCACACATGTCCGCCTGCCAGCAACATTCGCTCACAAGATTCCCGAGCATGTCACATTTGAAGTCGCAGCCACGTTACCAGTGGCTCATGCTACGGCGCAATATGCCCTCAGCTATGTTGCACACTTGGAGACAAGTGAAACTGTCTTCATACATGAGGCTGCCGATGCTGTAGGCCAAGCTGGAATCCAGATTGCCCTGAACAAGGGCGCCAAGATCTTCGCGACGGTGCGATCAGAAGAGGAGAAGACATTTCTCACAGAGATATATGGTATCGAAAGTACCTGTATATTTTCCAGTTATGACCTCAAGTTTGTTGTAGGTCTTCGGAGAGCAACAAGGGGTCGTGGCGTCGACGTGGTCTTGAACACCATGACTGGTGAGGCACTACAGGCGACATTCAGCTGCGTTGCGCCATTTGGCAGACTGGTTGATCTCCACACAAAGAGGACAGACCGATTGGAGATGGCACCTTTCGAGCGCAGTGTCTCTTTCATGTCTGTAGATATTGGGCTTCTTTACAGCAGGAAGCCCAAGGTCGCTGCGGAGGTATTCCAGGAAGCAATGGATGTTGCGGTGACGGGAGAGATGATTCAACGTCAGACAGTAAAGGCTATGCCTTGGTCTAGTTGAAAGAAGCT